CCCATCGCATTTTGATATCATTTTTTATGACATGGCAGGTGAAGTGGTGATACATCATAACTTAGGTGGCATAACTCAAATTCCACATCATTTATAATTATACTTTATTCAAATAATAATGTAAATTTTAAATTTAAAACTAAATAATTAGACTATTTAATTTTTTATTTATTTTTAACATGAAATTTGTATTATTATTTGAATAAAAAATAAGTATAAATGACATGGAATTTGAATTATTCCACCTAAATTATGACACATCATCACTTCATCTTCCATGTCATAAAAATCAAAATAGAAGGACCAAAATCCTTGATTTAAAATGGGGGACCAAAACTCAAAAAATAAGAAAATGCAGGGACCAAAATACTTGATTTTTAAATGTGAGGACCAAAACTCAAAATATAAAAATAGAAGGACCAAAATTACAATTAAACCTAATCAATATTTCTCCTAATGAACACTATTATATCCTAATGAACACTATTATATCCTAACAGTGAAATAATTTCTTCGAGCACACCATAAGATGTGCCTACTTCCTCTTCCCCTATCATAATAGAGCCACTGTCTAGGTATCTCACAAAATGTTTGCAGAGCACATAACTCATAAGAGTTTACTAATATAAAAATATAATGAAGTAAACACCCAATACTAATTTTAAAACTCATTATAGTTGCAAGCCGTGATATAAAAAATATTAACCATTATTTTACCTTGAAATCGACCATAGAAGAAGAGAAACAAATTGGAGGAGCGGCCGATTGCAGAATTGCGATAAATCAAATTGAAAATCAAGGTTTTGTGATTGTTAGTGTTGATTGCTAGGGTTCAATATCAGTATCCACAGGTATGAGAAGTTATGTGAATTACAAGTCTGATTTTTATGCATGGAAGATGATTTGAGAAGTTTTTGTATGAGTGGTAAATTTTCATTGAATATATTGATTATCATGGTATCTTTTTTCTTTGAAGAAGCAAAATGAATCTATTAAACAAAAAAATATCATGATACATGCTAAGATGGAGTTATGAGCATATCAGAACAAGGAAAATGAAAACAACAGAACCCCCTAATACAAAATACCACACTAGACAACTACTTTCATGAACTACTGCAAAATTGACTCGATGATGTTCAATTAGAGATTATAAGATACTTTGATTAGCATACTGGGGACTTATGTGCAGTTGTATTGAACATGTTCTATTAAAGAATATTAAGTTGTTCAACTATTTTTGTATTTTAAATGTCAAGTAGCAGTTTCTGTATAACATATTAGATTGTTAATTTTTATTGTATAAATTATTTGCAGACAAGAACAAAAGTCCAAGGCATATTGAGTAGTAACAACATAAACAAATTTTGTACTGTATTCATGAAATGGATGAACAATGTGACAAAGAGCATTATATTTTTACAGATATGTTGAGGAAGAAAAGGGTGGCAAAAGCTAGGCTCAATAAGATTGCATATACTTCAACAGAGGAAAGCAAAAAGATTGAAAACATTACTAAATGTTTTCAAAGTTATGTAATCAATCAATATTAAATATGAGCACATAGAAGATATCAGTATGTGTTTGTTAAATGTTATTAAAAAATTATTCATCTTTTAGAAAAGTGTATTTCATAAGCATATACATCTATATAATATTAATGAATGTTAATTGATCAATTGTTATTTATTATAATTTTTCAATACTCCAACAAGACTTTGAGAAATACTTATACATATTGGCAATGCTATACTAATTCAGAATTGAGTGGTTCACAACAACTTTAATACAATATGATATACTTTCTATTTCTGTTAAAGTATATTAGTGTTACATAGAAGTCTTTATTTTGTTATGCAAGATACAGTCTTTAACTCATTTGATACAATTGTCTTTTATTTTAATATATGTTATTATAAAGCAAATTAATTCTTGCTGCATCATCAAATTAAGTCAAACAATTTTAATTTTTAAATCAACATGATGAGAAGAGATAGATGTAGCCTTTTTGGAGTGTAAGAGTAATTCTTATTTGTTCCTTTTTGCGGAATTTAAACACTGACTATGCTCAATACAACAAATATTTTGTCTAAAGTAAAAATAATAACAACTTTAAAATATATATTATAATAATATTTTATTTTTCTATAATTTAAAATTTGTAATAAACTAAAATAACTTTTTATTTTTTTAATAATAATTTTTTCTTTTCTTTTGAGCAATCTCTCATCTGTCCGTTTGTTTTCTCAAGAAAATAATATTGTATTAATTAACCTCGAAGATCTCAGATAAATATAAAAGAACAAATCATTGATAATAACTTTATATATGCTTTAATGATTTTTATATTATATCGTACTATTGAAATCTTATTGATATAGTACATTACTATATTATATATTGTACTATTAAGTATTTTTAAGTATATTTTTTGGAATCTTATTTATATAAATAGATTCTAAATTTTTTTGGATGTTTTTGTGTAGTTCTAACAAATGTTATAAATATTTATTTTTAAATATGTCATTTATGTGTAATATATCTAATCATTAATATTCGTAATTAAATATATAATTACAATGTTGTTTCAATATTAAAAAAATTGAAAATCATATCATATCCGCAAACATTTCTATATGATCTTCGACTGTATCAGATTTCTCTTGATTTAGTTGAATGTGTATTGTGACAGAGATTCTGTTGAAATTTTAGGAAGAATTTATGTAATCAAGGTTCTTCTTAGAGTCTACAATGCTCAGAATTCAGGTCAGAATTTATGTAATCAAGGTTGTTGTTAAAGTCTACAATGCTCAAAATTTAGCTAATGTTAAAAGACCTATAAATGAAAAAGATTCATGAAATAACTCATTATTTTAACTAATTTCAACTTCATAACTTATTTCAAGATACCATGGAGTGTAGATATTTATTTAGAACTGAAATTTGACTGGAAGTTGTCATACATTGTAGGTTTGTAAAAATTATAAATATGATATAATAAAAAGTATTTAAAACTGATATTTGAAGAGAAGCTATCATAAATTTTAAGTTTGAAAAAATTGACTAATATTTGAACTCAACTGGAAAAATGATTTTATTCTTTTCTGTAGTTTTAAAATTAACTCAAGAGGATTTAACTGAAGTTTTATTAACTCATCTGGATTCACGGGTAGATGTGAATGTATCTATGAGATCTCAGCTGTAGACTGGTCATTTTAATGTCCATCTTTTAATTATATTTTTTGTTGCTGTTATATATAATTGAAGTTATAAAAATGATTGTACGATTTATTAAAAATACGAATAAAAACTTAAAAATTGATAGTGAAAAACATGTAATGTGAATTTTGGCACAAAATACTATTTGGTTCAAAATAGATTGAATTTTAGTTTATCAATTATATTAGCTTATCTTGATATATATAAAGGAATTTTACAAATCAAAATTAAAGGACTCGTGTGATAGTAGGCGTTTCTTACTAGTTAATATTTAAAATGTAAATAACTACGGCAACACTATAGGTTTAATATTACGTTGGTTTTATAAACTGCCGTAATCCACCGTGAATTATGGCGGTTTACAATAAACGTTTTAACTAAACCACCAAAATTTACACGATGTTTTGTAGTGTTTTCATTGAAACCCAAGGCCGGTAATGACGTCTTTATTTAAATTTAAGTCTACATTCAAATTTAAATTTTTGTCATAATTTAAATTTTGCAATGATTCCTCAATTCCATTAATTTGTTTGTTTGTCTTTCAATGTATTTTCTTATTTTTTAGATTTTCCAGTTAATATAATTTACTCTTTATTGAGGATAATCAAAAAGCCAAAATGTGAGTGTTAAATGAGTTATGAAAATTTAATCTGATTGTTTGACGAGAAATAGAGAAGAATGTTTCCTATTTGATGTTTGTTGAACTTCCAAATATCTAAGCTGGTGAGATTTTAGTCGAATGTATTTCACTTTTTAATTTTTTTCATGTATAAGATAGTATGGATGCATCTATTTAGTTTTTAGAATTTGAAATTTTTCTTTATGGTTGATTTGTCATACTATTATATATATTGGGTCATGTTTTTAGTACTTCAAGCCTTTTCAAACCCCCTATTATATATGATTTAGTAGGAAAATAGAAAGTTATTTCTCTTATTTAACATTTTTCATCAATTTCTTGGACGACAGCTGAACATTCTACATATCAGCGATTTGCAGTTTGGATGTATGCTAAAAAACTTAAAATTATGGATCAACTTATAAAAAAAGTATATAACCATAAAATTAAGTATTTGCTTTAAGAGTACCACTTTACATTTGAATTTATCCCTTAAACCGATTTGGTCCCATAATTTGGGTTTTAAAATAATCCATGTTAAACTGAGTATTAGTACATGTACATGTCAGGGTAGATATCAACATGGGTAAAAATTGAGTATTAGTAGTTGATCCGTAAGTCCCGACAACTACTATAACATGATAAATTAAATTAATATTTTATATAACAATCATAACTTTAAACATTTTTTTCTTTTAATTCGTATAGATTTTTATATATATATTTTAATTATAACTATATTATATTTATTTAATATTTTTATCGACTTTGTGTGACTTATGCAACGGGTTTATTCCTAGTTTTATGAGAAAATGATGACAAATTTAAAATAATAACTTTTCATAATCTTCAATGACATCTTTGTAACGTTAAATAATCCATTGCCATACATTCAACCACACTTAAATGCATTTCGTTTAATAGGGAATGCACATTCTATCTCAATCCCATTAATATTAGGCTTTCCAAGAAGATAAATTAAGAAAAAGCTTTTCAGTTTCCAAACAAAATTACACTTGCACCAAAAAAAAAAGCATATATATGTTGGATGATTGGGTACATAAAGAGCCACAGTTTATGAATCTGTCTATATATATTCATTCACATAGATAGAGATCTTTTAACCATTCGACTAAACATTCTAAGCACTTAAATTTCGATAATGGAAGAGAAAAGGATAATGCATTATTGTAGCTCAGACAAAATTTTGCTTGTGGGAGAGGGAGATTTTTCCTTCTCACTCTCCTTGGCAAGGGCATTTGGCTCAGCTGTTAACATGGTTGCTACCTCTCTAGATAGTAGAGGTATATTTTGAAAATCAAATATTAACTTATAAACAAGTTTGTTACTATTTTATTAATTGAAATACTAATGGTGCTTGCTTTTTTGAAAATTTTGAATACTGCAAATTTTGAAGAGTCTCTAGTTCGCAAGTATGGAAGTGCATCAAGTAAATTGAGTAAACTTGAGGTTCTTGGCTGCACCATCTTCCACAATGTGGATGTTGAGAACATGTGTCAACACCATTATCTCAAGAACAATAGATTTGATCGCATTATCTTTAACTTTCCCCATGCCGGTTTCATTTTGCGTGAAATCGATGAAATGCAGATTCGGTAAGTTATGCAAAACATATGTACGGTAAAATCCTTATTTTTTTCATTCAATTTATATATCACTAACATAAATATTTAATTAATATCAGGCTTCACAGAAGATTAGTGAGTGGATTTCTAAAAAGTGCTAAAGAAATGGTGTATTATGGAGGAGAAATTCATATTTCCCACAAAACAGCACATCCATATAGTAAATGGGACATCAAGGGTCTGGCAAAAAATGAGGAATTGGTTTTTATTGAAGAGGTGGATTTTCAACAATCAGATTATCCAGGTTATAGTAACAAGAGAGGTTCTGGCTTGCAATGCGATCAGAGTTTTCCTATTGGAAAGAGTAGTACTTTCAAATTTATGAGAGATAGTTTTTTGATCATATAAAACAACAACAACAAAAAAGGCGAAGAGATCTTTTGAAAACATGTTATTGTAATTTTGGTAGATTGTTTAGATTTCATGTTGCCTTTTTTGTAATCGACCTTAACTAATATTTTGTTGTGCTAATTAGAATCACCTGATAGTGTCATGATTTATTTGAAGTTGAGTTTATATTTTGTTGTGATAATTAGAATCATATGATAGTGTCATGATTTATTTGAAGTTGAGTCTCGAGTCGTCTTGAGGGATGTTGTCAAAACTCGTTTTGTTTAGTAAATTTGTTTATGCGATTCTTACGAATTTAATCATGTTAAAATAATAACTTATCATGGATTGTTCAACTCCACATAGATTGTATCTTTTGAAAATATAAAATAACACAACCAAAAAAAACACCTAAAATAACATAACAAAACAAAAAATAGCACCCAAAACAACCGTTGGAGAAAAATAACACCTAAAATAACACAAGGTTCATATAATTTCCTCAAAATGAAACATGATATGCTCATAATTTTAAACTTAAAAACAAAACAAAAAATGGAAGTTTCAAAACTAAATTTATACATACCTCCCTCAAAGATTGTTCTATCTTCTGCCCTTTAATTTTAGTTGATGTTGAGCCCTTTGAGTAATTTTCTCGTCTATTCCCTCTCTCAAATCTCATTATTATAAGACGCGCAAACAAAATGTCTAATTCAGGATTCTTCCCAACACCGTGGTAACATCTTTAAATTCAGGCGTTAATATTTTATTTTATTTTATTATTAAAAATTGTTAGCATATAATAATGGTTGCTGCCATAACCGTGGTAATAGAATCCATCCTTTCTTAGGTTCGAATCTCAATGCATTTTCTATTTTATTTATTTTTATATATAAAATAAAGTGTTACGATTTCAATTATTTTGTTCAACCATTGTGATACATTTATATATCACCATAGTTGGTAACATAAATCGTTGAGAGTATATTTATGTATAAGAGAATTAACTATTGTCCTTCAAAGTAGCGTCGTATCTTTCACAGTAAGACTACAACTCATTTTTTCTCTTCTTCCTCATCATTAGCAATCATATTCTATAGTATAACTGTCAATCTTGTTCTTCTTACATGAAGGTATTCTTGTTTTTCCTTATTCTCTCGTTTTGGTGTATGTTGTTGTTATGTTTCACATGGTTTTCCTATTAATTTCTTCTTGTTAGATGGTTTATGGCTTTTTTATTGTTATATGTTATTCTATATTGTTGTTGCATATTGTGTTGTTGACAAATAAGTTTGCGGTTTCACATGTTGGTAATTTTCATGTTGTTTGTAGAACTAAAGAAAAGTGAATGAAGAAACAACAACAACATCAAATTTCATCTAGTTTTAGAAGCTATGAAAGGAAATATAAGAAGTATGAAGATATTGCGTTAACTTCATCCAACTTATATTTTTTAACGGCTTCTCAAACTAGATGAACTTCATATGGTGATGATGATGGTGGTAACAAGTGTATAGTATAAGTTGATAAGGTACATATGGTTTGTGTAGCAATGGGAAAAAATACAAGAAGTATGAAGCATTGTAGAAACTTCATCCACCTTGGATTTCTTTTTTATTGCTTCACGAACTAGATGAACCTCATAGTTCCACGATAATTTTCAATAAAAAATGTGTTCTATAAACAACTTAATATATTTTGTGTTATTGTATGATGTTACTGTTTTGTGGCTAAAATGTATATTTTTATTTATTGTGTTACATGTATTTGTTGTGTTGTTGTATGATGTTTTTGTAGAAAAATATTCTCAAAACAAAAACAAAACATTGTTAACTCATAAGAAAAAGGCTTATTGTGACTTGGCAATATTTTTCTATTTAAATTCTTATACAAGTGTTACCATAAAATTTCTTTAAGGCATTTATTGTGTTGTTAGTGGGGTAATCCTGTGAACTGAAGGGTAAAGTGCCTTCTAGGAGTAAGGGACTTTAAGAAGATTAGAGTCAAGAAAAAGATAGCTGGAAAGTTCTTATAAAGAATTAAATGGGGATCGATGAACACAAGAGAAAGTATTCGACAAAGACAACAACAAGCCAGTCGATTTTGTGATTAAAGCCACTTTTCTAAAATGGCAATGTCACCTTTGTGCCAAAAATGGATTAATAACTTGGACAATGACTCAAATGCTTGGACAATGGCTCATCTGTTGTGTAAGCATTTAATTATTGAATGATTTGGAAGTTTTAAGCCTTCAGAGTAAGATTTATACAGCATGGCTTGATATTTGTTCAAGTGTTCTTCATGAAAATGACCTAAATTTCAAGAATGAATGCCCAACTTCTTCTCTTCTAAACTCCTAGCTCAAGAATGATCTCTTTAAGTTCTGGGACATTTTGGAAAGCTTGAAACATTGTCTACAACCTTCATGTTAACCACTTTGACTAAAACATCTTGTAACTAGGTGAAAATTGGTCAAGAAGTTAGCTTAAAAATCTGCCTAAACTTGCTAAAATTTTCACTAAGTGTTTTATGAAAAATGTCACGACTTTATGAGCTTATATCTTCAAATATAAGCATTTTTTAGACATCAAACCTAAGGTCAAAGTTGTAGAATTCATCAAAATCTACAACATTCATGTTAAGAGTTTTCCTTGAATCATCTTGCATCTTGGGGAAAATTTGTCATGAAGTAGTGAAATTATCAAGGTTAAAAACTCTTAGAATTTTTCTAAGTATTGAAAACTTTGACTTTTTGTGGACTTTCTTGACCTTCTTGATTCTTGTTGACCAATTTTTATATTTTTGAATGTCTTGATTTTGATCTTTGAAATTCAATGTTGACAAAAAAAAAGTCAAAGTTTGAATTTTTGTGTATCAGTTGACTTTTCATCAGTTGATCCAAATTTCAACTATCAATCAATTGGTCTTGAGAAATGATTTGAGCCATGAAACTAGGTCAAAGTATTGTGTTTAAATCCTTAAGATCATGCTTCAAGCCATTAGGTCATGTACTAGGTCAAAAGTCAATGATCAGTCATACTCAGTCAAAACCCTAATTTTGACAATTTTTCCCCTTTAATGATTTGAGTGCTTTTCTTGATGCATTGCGATCAACACTTTATCAATTGATGAATAATACCTCAAAATATTGATGTTGGCCAAAAATCATGAAGTTTGACTGTATATTGACCATAGTTGACTTTTTACCCAAAACAATTCATTTTCACTCATCTAAGCAATTGACTAAGCAAATTTGTGATGCAAGGCTTGAAACTTGGTATGAGAAATATTAAAGACCTATAATGAACCATGAAAGTAACTTGAGGCATCAAAAGTCTAATTGTCCTTGAGATAACCAAAACCCTAATTTGGAAGGTTCAATGCTTAGGAAGTGAGCTTGTCTGATCAAACCCTTGAGAATCCTTGAGCATTTGAGATCTTAGGTGAGAAATGTCTTGAGAAAAGAGAGGGAAAAATTTGGGGTACAACTGCTGCCCCTGTTCAATCTTCTTAAACCTAAAGAGTTAGATTGACTTGTCCATCATTCGTGACTTGAAGGTGGAAGATGATTGAACACTTAAGTGCCCAAAAATTTGCACTCGTTTATGTATGAAGTAAAACTGTTTGTTGATTATACCAGGAATGGGCTTAAAGATGCCATTTGGAAAGATGATGGAGAGTTATCGAAGATGGGCTTAAAGATGCCATCCAAAGTAACTATTGATAAAAAAATTAGACTAAGTCCACACTCAACTTTAACTGGGAGAAGTATCAGAATAAATATTTGTTCGATTTAAAATGAACCAACAGATGTCTTCAGTGTCTTTTAAGTCGAAAAGAATCAGAATAAATCTTTAGTCGATTTAAACTGAACCAGAAAAAGTGTCTATTAGAAAAGTATCAGAATAAATCTTTGGTTGATTTAAACTGAAAGAAGATATGTCTGCGTTGTCTTTTAACTGGAAAAGAATCAGAATAAATCTTTAGTCGATTTAAACTAAACCAAAAAAAAGTGTCTATTGGAAAAGTATCAGAAGAAATCTTTGGTTGATTTAGACTGAACCAACAGATGTCTGCGTTGTCTTTTAACTGGAAAAGAATCAGAAAAAATCTTTAGTCGATTTAAACTGAACCAAAAAAAATGTCTACTGGAAAAGTATCAGAATAAATCTTTGGTTAATTTAAACTGAACCAGCAGATGTCTGCGTTGTCTTTTAACTGGAAAAGAATCGGAATAAATCTTTAGTTGATTTAAACTGAACCAGAAAAAGTGTCTACTGGAAAAGTATCAGAATAAATCGTTAGTTGATTTAAACTTAACCAGCAGATGTCTATGTTGTCTTAATTGGAAGAGAATTAGAATAAATCTTTAGTTGATTTAAAATGAACTAGAAAAAATGTCTACTGGAAAAGTATCAGAATAAATCTTTGGTCGATTTAAACTGAACCAGCAGATGTCTTGTGTCATATTTAACTGGGAAAGAATCAGAATAAATCTTTAGTCAATTTAAATAGAACCAGAAGAAGTGTCTACTGAACCAACAGATGTCTGAAGGAACTGTTCGTCATGCAGATATTTTCCCTTTCTTCTTTAGGGAATGGAACTGGAACTATTTGAAAATTGTTGATGATATTCGTTTGTTGATTGATCTTTCCTGAAAAGGTAAAGAGTTAGTTGTATGCAAAGTCATGATGTATGAAATGCTTTGCGTAATGATGTTCTCAAAATAAATGAGATTGTGCTATGTGCGTTTTGTATGCATATGTTATGATGAATGAATGTGCAATGTTGTTGAAGTGTATTTGTCTTGGAAAATAAATCCCTGACAATTGTTGGGGATGAAGATTATGTGTATCTTCAATCTTAGGGAGTAGAGTTAAGGAACATTGGTCATTTGTTGCTCTACTAGGGAATTTATTTCTTATATACCCAGACTACGCACAAAAGAGACGGTTAAACTCCTGACTCGTTTGGGGAAGATAATTCTTATATACCCTGACTGGGGATAAAAGAGATG